GTCTCCTTCTTGTAACTCCTTCAGAGGAGTCATAGGCGTCTTGGTGGCCTCCCTCACTAGTCTCCTTCTTGTAACTCCTTCAGAGGAGTCATAGACGTCTTGGTGGCCTCCCTCCCTAGTCTCCTTCTCGTAACTCCTTCAGAGGAGTCATAGGCGTCTTGATGACCTCCCTCACTAGTCACTCTCCTGTATAGTCACTCTGTTTCTGGGGACGGCCTCCTTTAGGCAGATTCACGCGTATGCCATATTCCTTCTGTTTCTTAAAGATGGATTTAAATGTGCTTCAAGGAATATTCAGTGAATTTTCTTGTATCCATCCCCGGACTTATGCTTGCCATTAACCTTTTGTCTTCATGGTTTAGATAAAGAGAGAAGCACTGATTCACCAGTGATAGGACTGAATCAGATGAGTCACTTTAAAGGGGTAAATATTTATGCAATCACTTACTTTAACATTTAGTATTTTAAATAAATTGACATTATTTTGTACAGTCCAAGAAAGAAAAAAAATTAAATAACTAAAGCAAAAAAAAAGGTGAAAACTTATTTTTTTGCAGTTACTGTATCTGAAACTTTCTCAGATGAATGTTGTTGCTGCCTTTTCAAATCTGTTTGTGCCACTGAATTTTTCGGATTATCTATTGTTTTTTATATTCATCTGGCTCAGGAGGAAGAACAGTTCATCAACCTGTGAAGGACCAGTGATGGCTCTGTGTGCTTTGTGTGCAGGTTGCAGGATAAATGAGGCTAATGAAATCAGAAGTTGGACAAACAGACACATACGTTTGCTTGTACCTGTCTTTCTGTGTATACTGTAGCTTTGGGAGCAGTAGAGCTGCATACACAGAAACACACTCTCCACCCTCCTCCGCCCGCCTCCTCTCCACACCCTCCATGTTCCTTCCTGTTTCCTGTTCCGCTGTCCGCTGCACAGGAAACCTGGCCGCGCTATGGCGCTTCGACAAAAACTCGTGAGTCACGGAGCTGTAAACTTTGTGGACATGCGGGAGAAAAGAAAGTGGCGTGTTGTTTTCTGATCTCCATCTCCGACCATGCTAGCCCTCACATTGTTTCGCAAACAAACGGCTCACGGGTTCTTTAACTCGGTACACAAAGCCACATTTGTCCTCCACGTTTAACCACCTGCTGACTCTTGGCTTTCCTATCTGTGAGTAAGCTCCCTCCTGCTGGGAAGTCTGTGGACTGCATGCACCTGCTGGCTGTGATGTAAGTCTGAGTCAATCAGTAAAAACATTAATTAGGTCTCCTTTGTTTCATGAATCAGCTACACTGCTTCGGTTGTGTTGTGGTATCCACCTCACATGAAATTACGAAACTTTCCGTAAGCCGGCTCCGTGAGCAGTTATTTGCGGGAGTGAGGAGCTCGGGGTTGAGGGTTGTGACCCCTATCAAATGCGGGGGATTCTGCTTCGATGAGATCATGCCTGGTCAGTGGAGGGAAGTGACTTTCGGCTCGCCTGACCCGAAACCAGCTTCAGAGTTTAAAGTTCATGTCACGAGAGACAACTCCTTAGCCCAGCCCGACCTCCCGAAAGCCCACGTCTCTCACCGATGACTGCACAAATCTGAAATCAGTGCCGACTTTTGACACGACCTTAACCGTGTGGCCCCCGCGCTCTGTTGGGCCGGATGAGGTCAAGTTTAGAGGTCAGTTTCAGTGGTTCTCTGTGAGTTATGTCATCTGTTTCTGTGAGACATTTTTCTGACACCCTTGACATTCATCTCTAATTTGTGTTGGCAATCATGTTGGCAACAATTGCCCTTAAAATGAAACACAATGAGGCAAATGTGTTTCTGCTGTCACAGCTGTTCTTGGAGTGACCATTACAGGATTAAAGTAAATCCCTCCTTCATCTTCCAGACTGCTGTGCATAGGCTGTGTGTATGATTGTGTGTGTGTGTGTGTGTGTGTGTCCGTGCATGCTGGAATGTCTGCTGGCCAGGCCTTTTATTAGGCTCATCCATACCACCACATTATAGGCTCCCGTAGCCAGGCAACTGCAGGTTCTGGCTGGTTACCATGGCGAGCGCCCATTGAGTGACGTCGCCGGCCCTGTTTGCCTCCCTCCTCGTTGGAATGAGGGCCTTTTTAAAGGTGCAACAAACCCCCCCACACACACGGCCCCACCCCCAACTCTTTCTACACTCACACATACGTGCACTCACTTAACCCGTTGCACACACACACACACACACACTCCCACACACACCCTGCGCTTCGTCACCCTCTGTGCGGTGACTAGAGTGGAACTAACAATCCGACAAAAACATCTCACTGAGGCACATCACACTGCACCTTCCAGAGAGCGTCTTTGTGTGGAAAAACCCATACGGACTGCAAAGTAACGCCGAAATTCTCAGCTCGAGAACATAACTTCATCAAGTTAAACGGTCACATTTTACTCAGTTACAACAAACAGACGTGATAAATAGTTTTTAAAATATGTCGTATACTCAAACAGTAACGGTACCAAAAAATGTTAAAGAAAACATTTCTAGTTCCACAATGAACCATCAAAGACTGGTTCCTTTTGGCACCACAAGAACTAAAATTGCCTCTTTAAGGAACCATGTTCAAGATAATTCTTTGTGGACCCATCTGGTTCTATTTTGACAATAGGACTTGATAATTGCACAATCAAAGAAAGTCAAATGTAAGAATTGTTCTGGACTGTTGGTCAGACAAAACTAGTTATTTCAGGATACCAACTGTGGTTTTGGGAAATTCTGATGAACATTTTTCTCTGTTTTCTGCAAGTTTTCCTGTTTATAGACCAAATAATGAACTGAAAGTGAAAATAATTGTTAGTTGCAGCTCTGATTTTATGCATTTACCTGCCGCCAAACCACAAAACTCCAATTAAATGATGAACCTGTAATACTTTATAGAACTACGTGAAGTATGAGAACAACAACGACCTAAATCAAGAGGTGCTTCAGCTGATAATGCTGCCTTGAAGAATCATTAAAGAACCATTACTTCCCTGAGAGTGACTGAATGTTAAAGTGGGGATGCAAGTACCAATTATCTGAAGTTATTTTCTCAATGCAATGTTTAATTTTGTCTTTCAAACTGCATAGATTTTGTATGATGAACACTCTAAAACCCAAAGAGATTGAATTTAATATCAAAGACGACTAATAAACCTGCAAATATTAACATTTTCTAAGCAGGGAAGTATGATTTTTCAGGGGGGTTTTTTTCTAATGAAACTGGTTTCTGGTTAGTTAATTAATTTCCTCTTATTAATCTCTTTATGTGAGCTCATTCTACCCCTTGGACAGATCATATAATTGATATTTGTGATATATTTTGACAAACCTAAAGCCCTTCTAGCTTTTATCACAGCTTTCACAAGAAGAAACATGCTTGTAAATTAGGGATTATTTTGTCAAACTACTATTTTTAAGGCCAAGAATGGATTTTGACCCATAACTTTTGAAGCCAACACTGTGGAGATGTCTGCATGTCAACAGATTTGTCTCCATGACAACCAAGCAAACTCCAACCACAAAGGAAAACCTGGTGATAAACTCTGGAAAATGACCTCACCCTAATATCATAACTTGAATTGTCTCCTCATGCCAAACAATAACAAACAAGCAGGAGAGTCTTTGTTCTGGATGTGGAGGATCTGCAGCCTTGGTTATCATTTGACCAGAAGTTCTCCTGATCATGCATTCTCCTGACTGTATGCAGACTTTTCTGTGTGGCCATAATTTCAACTTCTAAGAGGGCATATGACCTGCTAAGGTTCTTAAGTCACCAGCAAAACAAGTATGGATAAGCTTTTGTAATCCAGTCACAGTTTTGAATCAGACCGCTGTTACTCAGACACTGAAATATCCTGTGATATTGTGTTTTTCTGCCACAAGTCAAACAATCCTGTAACTTTATTATAATATTGCAATATCATCCCCAGTGTTTGCGTAAATGTTGCGCCCGTGATGTGGACAAACTGCGTCAAAGTGGTCATTTGTCAAGGCACCGTGCTGCTGGAGTTTTGTGGCGACTAATGAATGAATGCAGTGACTTGCAGGAAGACGATTCCAGCAGCTTCTCCATAGCTTTAATTTGAACGCCTTTCACTGACTGCGGATGAGGAGGGGAGGGGGGAGAGGTTTGGAAGGGGAGGCGGCTGGTGGGGGTGAGTATTGTGAGTTGAACAGCAGAGCCCCACTCTAGCTGAATGGGCATTGTCATCTGGATTTCTATGGCTAACCAAAATACTTTCTCCCGCCGTGGGGGTTGGTTTATGGATTCATGGTGGGAACGGCATGTATTACGCACGGCCGCGGAGGGCACTGCTGCCTGCCTGCCTGCGCACACGGTCACAACCCGCAGTTTGAAGAACACACGCTAAAGATTTCAGACAATATATTCACTTTAATCTTAATAAAAGGAAACAGTATTGCATCTTCGTATACATGAATAATGAATCATTACATCAAAAAATACCAACAGAAAACAGAGTTTATTCCTGGAATTTGTGAAAAGACAAGAGACTCCCTGCAGGGACAATGATGCAAAAACTATTGCAGGTGCTCAGTGCGGCCGAATAACGGACTGTACATGTATCATGTTTTGACCTACAAATCCCAGGATCTCCGAGATCCACAGGTCCAAAGTTAGACTGCAAACTTCAGAACAACACAAAAAGCTCGTCTGGCATTTACATGTATGCACTTTTCTTCGTCGCTCTTTATTGTTATTGAACTTTTTTTTATTGTCAACATGTCGGCGTAGTTCCCCCTAAAGGAAGCTGAACGTGTGGGAGTGCAAACATTCTCAGTTACTGTACAAGTGTGTGCTGACAATGCACATCAAGGCGAAAGAACAGTGTTTATTTTCGGTGGCAAGAGTTTCTCAAGAGAAGAAAACCTTTGCAGTTACAACGGTAAACAATTCAAAATACTAATAATTTCGAAGATTTACAAAAGCAGGTACCTAACAAAGATACTCCTTTTTGTCTGTGAGCTACCTCTTGTCGTTGATAGTCTTTTTTTTTCTTCTTCTTTAATCTCCTGTAGACACAAAAAGGATGTGTGAATTCATGGTCCGAGCATAGTGAAGGGCCAGTGTAAAAACAGCAGAGGTGCTTCCATTGATTTTCAAAGTTCAGATTTCTAAAAAACAAAAAAAACAAAACAAAAAAATGCAGGTGCAAAGATAACGTCCGTAAAAAACAAACAGTTTTTTCAAAAGCTGCAGGTCATTACGCACCGCCTGCTACGAGCCGCGCAGCTACACATAATTCCTCTTGTCATAGTCCCCGTTCTGCGTGGCTCTCTTGGTCGGTGCGTATTTTACCGAGTATCCCGAGTTCCCGCTGGAGGGACAGGAGCAGCACAGCAGCGCTCCTCCGATCAGCAGCAGCGCCGTGGCCGCCCAGCCGATGTAGAGCGCAGCGCCGATCTCCCTCTTCTTGGATGCGGGCACCTGTGGATTGTAGAAGTCCGATATGATGTTGTTGGCCATCCAGCACAGCGGAACCAGCACAAACAGGCCACTGATGATGTAGATGACCCCTCCGGCGTTCACCACCCGGGCTTTGACGTACTCAGCGCGGATGCAGTTGGTGCACTGCGCCCCCGCGATCACCACCATGAGCCCCAGCACGCCCATCACCGACGAGATGATGGTGAGCGCTCTGGCCGCCTGCAGGTCGTGGCTGAGGGCGAGGACGGAGTCGTGCACCTTGCACTGCATCTGGCCCGTGCTCTGCACCACACACGACATCCACAAGCCGTCCCAGATCGTCTGAGCCACCACGATGTTGGCCTCGATGAAAGCCGTCACCTTCCACATGGGCAGCCCGCAAGCAACCATCACCAGGAGCGAGCCAATTACGCACAGCGACAGTCCCAAGATCTCCAGTCCGGCCGACACCATTTTCACTTTTTACGTTCAATCAAGTCTGTCTGAAGTTTGATAATCTCTCCTCTGAGCTCTCTTCTTGAGAGCAAGGTGTCTTTCTGCTCTTTGTTTCTTCGTTCTCACCTCGGTGTGCAGGAGCGTCAGTCGTTAGTTGCGCATCACTCACCACATTTACTCAGAGATGTAAGACAGCAGCTCCGAGTCTCTTTGTTAGTGAGGGGATGTGAAAACAACTGGAATCACAGTAGCACCGGACCACGAATATCTGCGGGGTGGGGGTGTGTGGACTCGAGGAGAAACTTTCCTCCAATCCGCTGCCGCCGCATCCTCAAAGGACCAATGAAAGCGCAGGGAAGTTGTGCGACTGAATAAAGCGGTCCAGAGCGCATTGTGCGTTTGAACAGTTATTTACAATGAATAGAGGGGGGCAGGAGAGGGGTGAAGGGCCTTTATGGGAAGGGGGAATTAAGGGTGTTTTAAGGTTATGGAGCAGCTGAAATGCAGAGGTTTGGTGAATCACTGCTCTTGTTATTGATTTTTCAGACATGGAGGCTGATGTCACTTGTCTGTGGCACACATGGGCTCATTCTGATGTGTATGAGATTCTTATCTGGATATCTTGGGTGTCATAAAACAAGAAAGACAGTAAAATGTCATATTTGTTTGACATACAAGCAGTTTTTACAGCCTTAAGGGACCGGGACTCTCTGCCTTAATTTATCATCACATTTGTTAATGATGTTATTCATGCATTAGATTAATTTTACCTTCATTTCATATTTAAAATTACTTGTGTGTGTTTTTAAAATTATTTTCATTCTTTTAAATGAACTTTTTTGTTGTTATTGTTGTTGTTTATCATTTCTTATATCTTCCTGCCATTTTCTTGTTTTTGTTTTAGCTGCTTTAAAATTATTTGTGGCTCTAGTGGAGGATTATGCACTACCTACCTACAACAACAACAACAACAACAAAAAGCCTTATTTGTGAAATGTAATGACTTGTAAGGGATGTTATTGAAACAATAAATGTGTTGGTCTTGATGATGCTTGTATATTGGGTTGGGATAATTAACATTTTAAATAAAATCCACATAGCCTATAGGTTTACTCCGGTGCAACAGTTTTTGTTTGGACTTGGAAGACGTTTTAGAATATACAGTGATACTACCACAGTGTAAACAATACTAATTTAAACCACTTTGTTATGTTAATGTATGCTGGGAAATATGGGAATGTGTCCTCTAATGACAACATTATTCCATCAATATAGTGAAGTAAAATAAAGAAGCTTAAAATAAAATAGAAATACACAAATACAAGAGCCTCAAAATTATAGTGTGTGTAACCTAAATATTTGTAATTAACAATACGTACTTTTAGCCGTTTGGTTTGCCTGATTTAAATTATTTATGGGCACAATTATGGGCATGATCCTTACAGTGTATTTTGAAACAGAAGACAACATTATTTGACCCTATAGCCAAGATTTGTATAATTATGTTTTTTATTACGAGTTAGCAGCCAAGATTTTTTATTTTTTTTTTTAAATCTAATTTAAAATACGTCTACAACAATACATTCAACATTTCCCACGAAGTCGGCAGACAGGGCAGTCCGCGACAAAGCCAAAGTTAAAAGAAACTGCAATACTGCAGCAGCCATCTTGGATCTGACAGGCATTGTTGTTCTACGCCGCAGCCGTCCTGAACCTTGAGCCGTAATGGCGTCAGTGGCGCGGCAGGACAAGCCGTTGGCAATGAAAAAGCTTGAGGGACGAGGGCGGACTCAGGGAAGCGCTTTCCGGGTTTCCCTTCCTGGGCTGGGACAGCGGCGAGAGGCGAAAAGCTCCGGCTATTAACGATATTTCAAAGTTACGGACAGGTAAGGCACTGCTCGGTTGTTTGTTGTTGTGTCTCTTAAGTTAAAAACTGTCGGACTCTGGGGGAAGAGGACACGCCGGACAGTCGGTTAAAGTCTCGCTGGCAACATGACACCAGCCGCGGTAACAACTGTTGCATGCTAAAGTTTGACATGTCACGTTAACACAGTTTCTTTACTTTGTTTGGGTCCAAACGAGTCTATCAAAGTAGTTTCAAAGGAGTAAAGTCATTTAAACGCGCGGCGGTGTTCGGCCTGAGCGGTGCGCGCTCACAGTCTGGTGTCATTGTCCCAGTTGATGTTTGGTGTCTGACAGACTGGGTGTGGTGGACATCTGACTGTTAGACACTGAGGCCTTCACACACGTTTCAAACTCCCCTGGCCAGTCACTAAAGCATTGTTTTATAGTCTCCCTTATTACTTGACACAACTGTCCAAATAAACATTTCCTTCTCTTCAGCTTTTCCAAACAGTAATGATGGCCAAATACCCTTTTTTTTTCTTTTCTTTTTTTTGTTGTTGTGCTTTGAACTCAGTTATTGCCCCATTGTCCCAGTTCATGTCTGGTTACAGCAGGGAAACTCTACACTTCAATAGGCCCACGTATCTCCTAAATCAGTGCCTATATCCAATCTGCATAGACGTGCCATTCAGAGCAGAGTTCCTGTAAAGCCTTCTTGTGGACCCTTCTTGAACTCTGCTTTCTAGCATCTGATTAGTCCTTGACCTATGATTGTAAACTGCATTTGCTCGAAGATAAATTTTGCGTCCAGACAAGCTAACAATAACAGTGGGAAACAATAACATATTCTCATTATGTGTCTGTCTCAGATGTGGCGGAGGGCCACTATTGAAGAATTATCATCCATCTTTTGCTTGTGTTTTTTGCCCAGTGAAAACATGCATATTTCACTTCCTTTTCTTGCTGAGTGTTGAACGCTGCGAGCACGATGGCAGACGAAGCAGGCTGTAATCTCAGGCTGGCAGCTGCCCTGCAGCTCTGAAAATGACTTCACTTTTTATCCAGCTGGACAGAGAACAGTTTGATATCAGAAGAACAACATCTCTTGGTATCGAAAGACGTCTCAGACCTCTGATTCAGCACCTTCACCGCTCCCTGACCTTTCCCCTTCCTGCGACCTTATCTCGCCAACGCCATCGTCCAGCACACGAGCGCCAGGGAAGACATCTGTCTGACGCTGTGAACTACAAGGGGATGTTTCCTCCCGTTTTGCGCCGCGGCGTGAATGGAAAAAACAAAACTTCATTCACTTTGATGGAACCAAGTGGACGTGGACCATTGTGTCAGAGGGTTGAATGATGATGTTGCGCAGCAGGATACCTTTGATTCACCAGGCTGTGTGTGGAAAACTGCATGAACAAACACACGTTATAAATAACCCTCATCTCTACAGGTGCCCGTTTTACTGTGATAACAGGAAAATGGGCACAGCGGCCATTTGATTTGCTCTATATATTGTGGTCCTCGCTCAGTAGGATGAGATTGTGATTACTTAATTTTAGGACTGCAACTCACACTTGTTTTTTTAAATCTTAAAAATATTTTGTGGGGTTAGATTATATGGATAACATTTGCAGTGGCAGGGCGCCCCTATGGCTCACCTAGCTGAGCAGGTGACCCATGAACAGGGGCTATAGTTCCCCGACCCTTTGCTGCAGGTCTCTCCCCATTCTTCTCCCCCTTTCCTGTCTGTCTCTACTGCTCTAAATAAAGGCAAAAAAGCCCCAAAAATATATATAAATAAAAAAACAAAGGCAGATTATTAAAATAAATAAATAAATAAAATAAAAATTTGCAGTGGCATGACATACAGTACTTGCAAAACTGTGATTTTCCGCAACTAAGAAGCCATTTATAGATAAAATAACTCGACGTATAAACTAGAGCTGGACACATATTGGATTTGGGGTCACTGCTTGTTGTCTTCCCAGCGATGCATTTCACAAACTACTTAGCAACTTACTGTGAAGACACAGCTTGACGCTGCACCACCATCTGCTCAGATGTGATTTGTATTCTGCTGCATGTGCTGCAGACACTGCACACAGTGTTATAAATAATGGGGTCAATGCGTCTTCGTATATTAATACAAACATTTGATTACTGATTTTCAACATTGACCACAGTGGTTGTATTTGGGGACATTAGGTGAGTTGCTGCCTGCAGTGTAGACAAATTCCTTTAGTCTACAATATTGTCTGATTTCCCAACTTTAATATGTAATTTATTTATTTGATTAAGTAGTTAATAGTTCACCAAAGAAATATGTAAAAATGCTGCAGGAGTATAACCAAGAGAATAACTTTATTAACTTTACTGTAATATAAAACCAGGAACAGTCGTACTTCCTCACATTAAAGAAGGAAATTACTTCATCTTTAGCTTTTTGCTCTTCAGATTAATTTTCTGTTGACTGACTGTTTCATAATGTGTATGAAGTTAATGTAACATAATCTAGTTTTGGGGTTTTCTTCCCTACAAAAGGCCGTTTGATTGAAGGAACATTGCAAATAAATGAATGAACAAATGGATTGGAGTGAATGACAAAAAAGATTATTTTTTTTGTCCCATTTAAACTTAACAGTACTTTACAGCAGCTATGTGGGCATTGCTGGGATAATATTTTGTTGCTGTATGACTCCCACTTGATTTTAGTAATTTCCGAGCCTGTCCACATCATCATAAACGGCCCATCCTGTGCTTTAAACTCTGTCAGCGTTGCAAACAGGCCTGCTGGTTTCCTCATGGTTGAAAGGCTTTTTCATTCCGCCCATTGTGGCTTTTTTCCTCTCTGTGGGCTCATATTTTAAAGTGTTTCAAAAACCGCAGCTTAGAAAACAGTATCATGTCTTTATTACAGTGCTGTAGCTGACCACCGCTACCTTTTGCCCCATAGGGCTGTTTAGTTCCAGTCGAGACCCCCTGTCTCGGTGTCGTTGTGTGTCTACGAGTCTTTGCATGAGCCAAACATCACTTTATTATACTCGGTAGCTCCGGGGTCCCTGTTGCTGTGATCAGCTGCCAGTAAATTACCATTTCTGTTGTTATGCCACCGAGTTCACAAAGTCTCCAGGGTGTAAAATGATTGTTTCAGTGTTTCCAATAAGTGCAGAAAGTCCTTAATCCGAGGAGAGCGGGTGTGCAGACCCTTGACACTGCCTGTCAGGAAGGTGAATAGTTCTACTAGCGCTGCTGCCCCTTCATGGCTTCCCTCCAGCCAATAAATCAACTGTAAATGCATTACATGCCAAGAACTTTGGCTTTTCTAAGGTGGCATTTTTCCCTTTTGGCCCAAACTGTTTAATCTCCCCCACGTCTGGCTCATTGATGCCCGTGTGTATGTGTGTGTAAGCAGCTCAGCAGCCCGGCCGATTAAATGGCCATTATTAAGAGAGTATTATTGAAGTGTGCCTCCCGCCTGTCTGTCCTGTAGTGTTGTCTTTGTAAGATTACAACTGCGATATTGGAACGGTTTAATTAATCTGCTGCCGGACTAATGCTGGTTCCCACAGAGCCTGAAGAGGAATAACACTTTGGGGTGTGTGTGTGCGCGTGATACACATGAATAAGCCTGTGTGGGCCGCCGCGCTAACTCAGACGTTCATTAATAATCAAAACACATTTATTTTCATCTGTGTGTTTTTAGGCTTGAAACCAGCGATGGAGCTGTAGTGGCGTAGCGGCTTTAGGGACGGCAGCAGTAGGCAGGGAGTCGGTCAGTTGGTCAGTCTCCTTCAAGATTTGCTTTCTAGCTCGTCTTGAAGATAGATGTGCTGTTAAGATGAGTCTTAGTGGCTTGGGTGAGGCCTTTTCTCCTCCTCAGAGTTGTCACATATCCAGCTAAATAGTGCAACATAAGACAGATGCATTGGTTCATATTTTGTACAGAGATTCATATTCCTCGGGGGATTGCATCGTAATAATCTCCAAAAAAATGGTACTAACTTTTTTTTTTTTCCAAGTTTGATACCTCCATGTCCTAATCGCTTTAACTAAATCAGTGTCGTTGTTTTCATAACATTCGTGTGTGTGTCCGTGAATGTTTTCACCCGTTTTTAAATGTTTATTTCCTGACGAGGCCTCGTACGCGCTCCCTCTTTGACTCCACCTGGCACTCCTCCACCCGAAATGATTGGTGTTGTTCTGCATGCGGTTGGTCCTGAAATGTTGTCAGGGGTGAGGCACGTGTTCTCCCTCCTCCCTCAGCTGAGCTCCCCCCCACCCTATAGGAAATTCTTCAGGAACCAACGGGATAAACATCCATTGGTGCGGGCTCGATGAAACCACCCTGTCAGTGTGAGAGATCGCTGCCCGCTTTCATACAGAGGGCGACCCCCAACTACCATCTAATGCATTTAACAGTGTGAAATTGTTCCCCAAGTATCCACAAATTCCAGCAGAGAACGGTCACCTCAGGTTCCCATGCCACCTCTTTCCCGCCGTTACATAAGCAGAGTGAATCTCCGTTTGGCAGCGCACGGCAGCCTGCCTCTTTCTAATGCTTATCACACTCCACCTGTCAAGGGCCAGTGTGTTGGTGATAAAACGGAGCCTGTTCTTCCTGCTCAGTCATTATGTGGCTAATTTATCAAGAGGGATTGTTGCTCTGTCGTCTGCTACGGGTCATCGAGTGGGACGGGAGCACGGGGTGCGCAAGACCGTAACAGTTTAATGGAAGTCTGGGAACCAACTTGCTGCCCGCAGCCTGTAATCTCTGCTCCTTCCTTGCGATAGCGCTAGGAACGCAGCAGCAGTCACCTTGAATGAACGTCTGAACATCCACTCGACGTGCAGCAGATCATTTTGAGTTTACAGTATAAACATTCTCAGGCGGGGTTGTGTTTTTGTAAATAGCGCTGGAGATATGAGATGCTTGTTCATTTCTCTAATTGCTGTCTTATGAATGGATGTGTTGTGAAGACTTGCAAAGGCTGTTTACACAAGAGACGGACTAAATTTTGCACCTATCCTGCTAATTCTCTGGGTTTATGTGTCTGAACAATACTACAAATTACTGTCTACAAACTTTATGATTTTTGTTTTTTAATATGACTTTTACATCAATAAGATATTGAAGAATCACAGCTTGACAGGGACTGATGCATTAGCTGAAAACTATTTTTTGGGGGGTCATTTTAGAAATTTAGATTTTCCTATGGACATTTTTTCCATAAAATTATCCATCCATCCATCCATCCATCCATCCATCCATCCATCCATCCATCCATCCATCCATTATCTATACACTGCTTAGGCAGGGGACACCTGGACAGGTCGACAGTCTGTCACAGGGCAATTTAGAATCACCAATTAACCTCAACATATTTTTGGACTGTGGAAGGAAGCCAGAGAACCTGGGTAGAACATGCAAACTCCACGCAGAAAGATCCCGGATGTCCTCACTGGGACGCAAACCGGCGACCTTCTAGCTGCGAGGCAATAGTGCTAACCACCGAGCCACCTTGCAGCTCCCAGAAAGTTATATTTTGCTATATATCAATATTGTGTTGTAAAATTACACATGTGATTTGATCCACTTTTCCCATCACAAATCTAACAGGGCTCACCTTAAATTCTTTCCATTAAAAAAAAAAAAAATCTTCTGGCTTTGCTGAAAAAAGTCCCAACAGATTCCTCAAATCTGACCTAAATATGGATTTATCTACAGCTGTGCAGTTTAAGTTTAGTGTGAATGTGTCATATTTGTCTTGTTGGTGTAACAGAGGTTAAAAAAACCTTTAAAAAAAGCTGAAAATGGGAAGAAAAGCTAGACCTGCCTTTTATATGTGAGAAAGCAATATCGGTTGGTCACACATTTTTCTGATATTATCTTTATAATTAATTTGGCACCTCATTATAGCCATGATTATATTTTATAGGTGATCACAGTTTCTTCTCACATGCTGCATGATTGATTGCAGAATTCATTACTCTGGGTGAACACAATATATGAGCAATATGAAAAGCATTAACTGGAGGAGGCACCTAGTAAGAGGAAGGTTTTTAGTTGATATCATTTACAACCATATCTCCTTTTATTTTTCCTCCCACCTGCAGGCTCATCAGAAATCCCATAAACAGTAGCGATGTCTCAGTCTGGAGAGAAAGGGAAGGTGAGTAACACCACATTACAGCTATTACACTGAACTGTGACAGATCGAAGGCAGGAGGGCTTTGTAAGAAGGCACCGGTGATTCATAGGCATGGTACTTGTAATCTCATGCACACACGCATACACAAGCATCCAGAGAGGATATCCTGTATAAATTCAAGTGTTTCATGGCCAGCCTTTATTGCCTGTTGGAATTTCTACAACGATATGCATCATCATCATTAATCTCACTCTTATGCACTGACCTGCGCCTTTAAACGTACACCTCATAAAATAATGAGAAACGTCAGGCAGGCCTTGTTTACTAGATTTACAGAGTGAGAGTAGGAAATACCTTAACGCCAACATTGCATAACACTACGATGTGAGGCTGTGCATATTTTTATAATACAACATCTCTACCTTTTGTCCGCTATAGTTCCCAGATACAGCGGGTTATGTAGGATTCGCCAACCTCCCGAACCAAGTGCACCGGAAATCTGTGAAAAAGGGGTTTGAGTTCACTCTCATGGTTGTAGGTGAGCGACCACTCTCGCCTCCTAAAGCAGACTGTATGATTTAGAGAGGAGAGATTTGTTTTCTAATCTCGTTGTTTTTCAGGGGAGTCTGGTTTGGGAAAATCGACACTTATAAACAGCCTGTTTCTCACTGATCTCTACCCTGAGCGCTACATCCCCGGTGCTGCAGGTACGATCAACAACACACACACACACACACACACACACACTGTAATAACAGAGAAATGTCTGCTGCAATGTCTCCAGCTGAGCATTATTTCAAGAGGAATGCTGGGAATGCTTGCAGTCTCAAAATATGACCCTGCCCTTCTTATGACTCGACTTAGATTAGGACTTGGTCTGGCTTGAAAACAATTATCCCGGCCCTCCCTGGTCAGTTCGTGTAGATTGGAAAATATCCCTTTTAGATGACAAAACCCATGATTTCATTTTCCACCTTCTTTGATGTTTTCTCCTGCTTTGACCCCACAGAGAAGATTGAGAGGACGGTGCAGATCGAAGCGTCGACTGTGGAAATCGAGGAGAGAGGAGTGAAGCTCCGTCTCACCGTTGTCGACACCCCTGGTTACGGCGACGCCATCAACAGCCAGGACTGGTGTGTTTATGTGCTGCGGAGGAGTGATAGCAAACTCGAGACATGTCCAGCATGCTCTCTGGTCCTTCCCTCCTGTCCTCTACCGCTCCCTTTCTCATGTTTCATCCCAAACTCCTTATTTCCTACCTCGCCTCCCTCTGCATTCCCTGTGTCTAGATTCTAGTGTACTCTTTGTGTGTGATAGTGCTGTCATTGCAGACTCCCTATCCAAGATCTGTTGGTTGTCGTGAAATCGCTCATAGGCTACTAAGAAGAAGAAAAGCTATAGAAGATACACATTTGTAGAAAAAACAGGCACTTTGTCTTTGCTTTCTCTGCAGAATCTGGTGTTGTCACCTCCCCAATAGATTTAGATTCAGATTATTAATGTTAGATATGAAAGCTACTGAGCCAAATTTGATAAGGCACGTCAAATTCACACACATTATAACACATCATAAACTCTGAAACTAAACAGAGAACCTGTATAGTCTGATGGGTTTTAACAAGTTAAACAACTGTACTGCTTGCAAAACATTTTCATTTTTACACAGTAAGTCAGACAAAAATAGAAACAGTATTCATCGTACGAGTGATGTTGTGCCGTTTGTCCAGAAGTCAGAAACCGCCGTTCATCACTTTAACTCGTTATCACAGCAACTGCTCAGAAACAGCGTGTACAATTCATCTCCTGTTTGTTCCTGTTTCAGAATTACAAAAAGTAATCGCTGATGTTGTAGGAGATATTTCAGAGCTGACTGTCAGGTGATGACCTCAGAGCAGAAAAATGTCAACTTTTAGCAACTATGCAAACAGCAGCTGTTAAATCCAACACCTGCATTTTTTCCAGTTTATTCAGCAGAGTTTAGAAGGAACATGTCAGGAAACAGTTTATGACAACAGTGACATAAAAACCACACTCTGATGAGTCTTTATTGAAGTCCAGGGAGTTTATTAATGCATGTTTTTGTTTAATTTTGTGAGACTACTTACTGTATTTGCTTTAAAACAACTGGATGTTCATATCAAACCCTCCTAAACCTACGAAAGGCTTTTTGAACAGTTTAAATGTGTTCCTCGCGTTTCTCCTTGACAATGAAGATCCTCCAAGAATGCTCTGATGTATGAATGTCGGTGCTAACGGAAAAGCGTTTCTTCTGTCTGTTTTTGGCGTCAGCTTCAAGACCATCATCCAGTACATCGACAATCAGTTTGAGCGCTACCTCCACGATGAGAGCGGCCTGAACCGAAGACACATAGTGGACAACAGGGTGCACTGCTGCTTCTACTTCATTTCTCCATTCGGACACGGGTGAGCAAAGTCACGACTTTACATTCATGACACACCCTTCCTCATTTAAAGACTCTTTAGTCAGCTACATGCTAATATCACAGCATCAGCACTTTTTTTTTTTATGGCGTATTGTCAGAACTGTACTTCCCTGCTAGTTCTGCATTGTCTCGCAGCGCTTTCATGTCATTGCAGCGCAGTTTCACCCACTTTCTCGTTTTCTTTCATCTCAAAGCTGATGCCCTCTCTGGTTTTCATTGTGTCCTAATTGCCCTTCCTGTTCCCTTTTTTTTTTTTTTTCCTTCCCCAGTTTAAAGCCGCTGGACGTGGAGTTTATGAAGGCCATCCACAGCAAAGTTAACATCGTCCCAGTCATCGCCAAGGCTGACACACTGACACTGAGGGAGAGGGATCGCCTGAAGAGGAGGGTGGGTTTAATGCACACACACACACACACACACACACACACACCGACACACACACACTGTGTCGATCCACTTTCCACATACAGTACATGTAATCATCTTTCCCCTAGATTTGACTCCCGGCACACAGCTGGAATGTCTAAAGAATCTTGTTGTCAGGATGTTGGGGGCTTTATTTTGGGATCTGTTATGTGCTTGTTTTTATCCCATCAGCAGCTGCATGGTTTAGCCATTAGAAAATGGACCATCATCATCATTGTAATAATAATAGAATGGGACCATACACTAATAATAGCAAAATCACTTTTCTGTCCCTTTTGGCGGCCCGCTGTGTCAAACATCCGCGTCTTTGTGTGAGAATGCACGCGTGTGTAATCGCGGTGATGTATGGCTTGTGTTTTTGATGATACTGGCAGATTGTTCAGAAGTACAGGGAGGGGCAACGTCGGAGGGGAAGCGGTAGGAGGGGCGGGCATAGGAAAAGAGTGTGTTGTATATAATATGGATGAAGCACATCTCATCCAGCCTCAGCCCGGCCCAGATACTTCCTGCTGGAGCTGACCCAAGTGTCTGCCTGCCTGCCTGCCTGCACGCTTCTCAGCTTCCTGCTGTCCAGAGGGGGAAGAACAGAGTAGTACCACTACAACACACACACACTTCACAGCCATGTGTTCAGCTGATAATCTCTCACATGTGAGATGAGTTAGCGGGATTTTCCTGCTTCTGTGTTACTCCTCTTCTTTCCGTAAAGCATCAGTGTGCCTTAGTTCCTTACTTTAAATCTCAAATCAGAAAAAAACGGAAACAATTGGGCAATTAGATGACTGTTTTTATGGATAAGTACCTTGTCTGAGTCACTTCTTGAGTCAAAATGCCAAACATTCTTTCATAATAGCTTTTCTAATGTGAGGATTTGGTGCTGCTTTTTTTTCTTTTTGATTGCTGGAAATGTTGGCAGGTGTTATTGAACAATTGTGTCACATTTTACCAGCAAAATGATTGATCGAGTATGTAATGATCAGACTGACGTATAATGAAGGTCGCCACTGGTTGCCAGTGTTTGTGACTTTAGTTGCAAATTACTTTTTCATCTCGCTCCCACCTCGCTTGTTTTTAATTGGAAATCAGCCTGTCTCCCCACCTTCCCGGACCTCCCACCTGCCTCTCATTCAGGCCCCGGAGCCGGTGGTCTGGCTGGCATTTGGCTGGTCGGCTAACAAGAGTCCAGCTCGGCTCTGTTCTTTTCAGCGTTCAAAGCCTCCACAGTCAAATAGCTGGAAATCGCTGATGCAGCATCTTAACAAAACAAAAGGGTCCCAGTTTGGCCATTCAGGACACACACCTTTCTTCCTGTGCTTCCTAAGACAACAGGAATTAACATTTGTCACCGTATCAAAATATGTGAACCCAGTAAAGGCGCTGCCTCTGGGTTTTTCACTAGCATACAAGCTGTTGCTCCAGCATCAAAGCTGGAATCCCTCCAGCGTGTTGCCCTAAAGGGACCTGCCAGTTGAATTGTACCCTGTAGTGTTGTTTTGTGTTGTGACCTTCCTCAAACCTACAAAGTGTTCCTTTGGCACTTGAGATGAACAAAACCATGTTTCCTGCCACCACTGACCCCCACCTCAATGTACAGAAAATCCCCGAGCCTGTTGGCTTTGTGATCCAGCTGGCAGCGTTCAGCAGGTCAGCTGTCCTGATTACAGCCCTGGCATCGCTTTTGTTTTAATTTTTCTGCGTGTTTTTCGTCATATATTGTTAATGTGTAGCGGCAAAGTGGGAAATTATGTAAGTGGGGCAGCGGAAATGCTGCGACGGTATCACTCTGATCTGACCTCTTTTCAACTGAACTGTCCGGAGCACTAACTGTCCAGCGGTTTGTTCACATGCTCCGCTAAGTGTTCCCTTAACAGACATTTCCCACCGCGTACTAAACAGCAATTAGCTCAAGGCCTCAACAAAGTCGTCCAATTCATGCACGCGGACTCACAAATCCATAACATCTATAGCAACAATGAAGAAAACATGTTGTTCTGTGCTAAATTTATCCTTTTTTTTTTGTTCTAGCTACACACTAAATGAGATATTTCTTCTTATCTTAGCCTTATCTAATGACAGTGAGTTCCTGGACAAGCCATTATTGCCAGGAAATGCACAGGGTTAATTGAGGTATCTGCTCCACATTTAGAAACGCTACGCCGTCTCTAAGGAGGGTGTATTACTACTATCTCTTGTTTGGCCACAATTTGGGCATACACAACTTTTTATCTTCACCTAAGTTTGTTTTAACGAGTATACTGGTGTGGTGCTTGTTTAGTTGCATCAGTGCGTCTATTTTAACTTGACACAAGAGGCTGCGTGTTCTCAGTAAGAATATTCCATTATTTGAACTTTTAAAAACCTGATGTCCCTTTTAAACACATAAAGTTGCGTCTTATATCCAGATAAAGGAGTATTTATGTACTGTAGATCCTTTTTTTTCTCGTTTTTTTACGTATGGATGCACTTATGTTCAAGATTCAGGGCAAGAAAAGTACACATTGGTTTAACAGTTAAAGTAAAATGTTGAATCACTGAATGAAATACTCTATACGCAGCACTTGCTACTAAACACAGGTGCACAGCTCTTCCTGCAACAAGTCGAGTTGCATCTACTTGAGCACGCCCTCTTGCAAATATACGATGGATTAAGTCGCTGTAAAATGTAGTTTCAAGCACATTCAGAACAACTACGTAACTGCAGGGTGTAAATGTGCTATTTTTTGTCCTGGCGTCACTGATTTGTCACAGCAATCTGGTTCCTTACGTCTTTGGAAACATAGGTATTGTGAATGTGAAGCAGTACAGCAGTGCCCATTAATCTCTATTAAGTGTCTCTCAGGAGAACTGGCGCGGGCGTTTGTTAGCTCGATCAGATTAGTTGAAGTGGCTCTTAGGTATACGTGCCTGATTCCTGCCGTAGCGTCCCGTACAGTAAAGCGGCGGGCCACCAGGCCTTCCTTTGAGGTCACAGCGCCCAGCAGCCAAGAACCTGCCAGAAAGCCGAGTGCTGGAGGATGATTGATAACCCCGAGCGTTTCTCCCACACAATTTATTAGTTTGTTTTTTAGCAGGGCACTTTCTCACCGTTCGGAGCCATTTGTCTCTGGGTAAATGGGACAGCCCCCCACCTCAAGGATTGTCCAGTCCTTTTTTCTTATTATTAGGGGGAAACAGCTTGTACGAAACAATATATGTTTCCTGCAACGTGTCAAGACTGTTCCACTGACAAGACACAACCTGCTGCCCTGCACAGCTCGGCCTCAAAGGACGCCGTGAACAAACCTCCCATCGTTCACCTTTCATCCCCTTAGTTCTGCTCGCTTCTCGCCCAGTCCTTCCTCTCCTGGCAGTGCCTGACTTAGCCGTCTCTTGCTTTCTCCCTCTGCCTCTTTGTGTCCTCTTTTTTTTAATTTGCTCTAATGCCAATTTCCTTCACCAGGGTCGCTGTGGTCTCTAGCTCATAAGTTGCCCTGAGGAGGGTATATTGAGGAGCTGATCCTCTCAGTCTGGGACCCTACAGTCATATCCTGTGTGGAGCTTTAGTCTGAAACTGCTTTACTGGTTGTTTTTTGTTTGAACATAGAGGACAGTACCCAGCTGGTTTAGACTGGAATCCAGATGGAAACAGCAAAGTGAAGTTGGCTGCTTTTGCTGTCTGATATTTAGAAGGTAATCAATTGATTGGTTTGGCCAAAACATTTACATACGTTTACCAATCTTAAGCAGATTTCAAGTCTCTTCATGTCTTTGATTAAATGACCCAAACACTCCCTAGAAGGAGTGGAAAGCATTCAGTACACAACGCAAGTAAGAACACTTTCACTTTTTACTCGTTCAGGAACTCTTGTGCGATTTTGGCAGCGTGCTGTGGATCGTTATCACTCTGTAATACTCCTCTACCGCCAAGCCTTTGCAGACTGGGAGTCATCTTGTCAGACGGTGAT